ACTGGGTCCTCAATTTACCTACCTTAGAAAGGATGGAAGGCTGAGTCAACCTTGAGCCTGGGGAAATTCGAACTTGCAGTAATTGCAGGCAGCTGAATGTTAATAACAGGCTATTAGTCTGCTGCGCCACCAGGCTCCTTTGAAGTTTGAAAACATCCCAAAGTTCTACCATGATGGTAAGATTTGCTTAATTATAAAATAGCTGCCATGGTGGTTATGTCAACACAGAAAGCACATACAGGTAGTCCTCAATTTACAACAGTTCATTTAGTGACTGGTCAAAGTTACACAGCACTACAAAAAGTGATTTATGACCATTTTTTAAACGTATGAATGTTGCAGCATTTCCTATGGTCACGCAATCAAAAATTGGATGCTTGGCAACTGGTTCATATTTATGACTGTTGCAGTGTCCTGAGGTCATGTAATCACCGTTTGCAACCTTTTGACAACCAAAGTCAATAGGGAAGCCAGGTTCACTTAACAACCATATTATTAACTTAACAATTGCAATGATTCACTTAATCATTTGTCAAAGGTCATAAAATGGGGCAGAACTCACTTAACAACTGTCTCACTTAGCAAGAGAAATTTGGGGCTCAATTGTGTCCATAAATCAAAGACTACCTGTAGTAAGGAAGGATGCTCAATATCAATCTTTCTCAACCTCATAAACTAATGTGTGTACTTTAACTTTCAGAATTCTCCAACAAGTATTTGGGAAATTGAAGTCCACACATTGTGAAGTTGTTAAGAGAGAGAAGACTGCTCTACACTATCACATTTAACTCAACTATTACAGGGGTGGGTTCTACTTACCTTTACTACCAGTTCACAATGGGATCACACACGCGCGCCTTGCTTCTGCGCATGCGCAGATCACTGATGATGACATCTGGGGCAGTGGGCGGGGCCTCCCGCCAGTTTTACTACCAGTTCTTAGGAACTGGTCTGAACTGGGGGCAATCCACCACTGAACTATTCTAATTTACCTGAAGAGTTTTCTCCACCCCCGCTTCCTTCAATGAAGCAGTAGAATACATTTCCAAATTTAGCCCTGAGTTACTCAGTTCACTACTTTATTTTCTAAGTGTACCTATGAGGCATTTCAGAAATAAAGACATTTCACATTTAACCCATGCAGTCTTTCAAAAGATACATAATGGACTCTTTTCTCTTGTTCTTGCTTGCATATAAAAATGTATAGTAATTCTTTGATCTTAGCCAAAAGACCAAGAATTGAATTATAATTTGAAAGATTGTTTTTTAATAAAATGTTGTATCTGTGGTATTTAATTCCTGAGAAATTTTCAAAGATGCATAAAGGTATATCAAATAAGTGTTGGAAATGTAACCAGTGTGAAGATAGCTTTTATCCCATTTCATGGACAAGTAAGAAGACGAAGAGATATTGCAATCAGATACATCATAGCTTGATTCATAAAATATTAAAAATGGATGTAAAATTGAAAACGGGAACTTTTCTTCTGAGCATCATGGATAAGCAGATTGAAAGAAAACATGGGACTTTTGTTCTTATATGTGACAAATGGCAGTGAGATTTTTATATGCAAAGAGGTGGAAAGATAGACAAATTCCCACAAATGAAGATTGGATTGTGACATCAATGTCACTGGCAGAGATATCATACCGGTAATTGGCTACTTTGAAAGATAAAAGTTTATCTAGCTTTTATTTCTACATGGAGATCACTTCTGGACTTCTTGCTTGAAAAAGATAAAAATGAAATTCTGATTTTTAGAGTTTGATCGTTAGATTTGTCATGATTATAGAAATATTGTGGTGTTTAATTATTATTTCATTATTATTAATATATACCGTACATTCTTAAATTTAGAATAAATGGTTATTTTGTTATATAATTTTGGAAGGGTTGGATAGTTTAGTTTGTATGATGTTTTGCTTTAATTTAAAGTAAGAGGTTACTCTATTATATATTGTACCGATACTGAAGAAAGTTGGAAGGCAAAAAATCAGGGGTTACCACAAAGAAGTGGGAGTCAAGCTATTCTCCAAAGCACCTGAGGATAGGACAAGAAGCAATGGATGGAAACTACCATATTTTTCAGAGTATAAGACGCATCTTTTTCCGCCAAAAAAGAGGGTGAAAATCTGGGTGCATCTTATACGCCGAATGTAGCCACATCCAGCTTCTCAAACGGAAAGAGGCTGAAAAAAGCATCAGAATCAAAGCTTCAGAAAAGAAGCCCCCAAACAGAGCTTCAGAGGCTTTTTTTCTGAAGGTCTGTTTCGGAGGCTTTCAAAGGGAGGAAAAAAAGTTTTTCTGAAACAGAGTTTCAGGAGTTTCAGAGGCAGAAAAAAAAGCAAAAAAAAGCAAGGCACATAGCTCATAACCAAGGAACCTGTTTTGCTTAAGATTTGCTTAATGACCATGGCCAAAAGAAGAAAAAAGATTGCAAAAACACGATGACTACTTAACTGTATTGTTTAGCAACAGAAGTTCCAGTGCCAATTGTGGTCATAATTCAAGGACTACTTTTATTAGCCTTGATGACTGCAAGAAGGCTATCAGCTGGAATTCTAGAGGACTTTCTTATGCAACTGGTTAGCCACTGTGGGAACAGACTCCTGGAGTAGATTGTCCAGCTGCACCGTTTATGTTCCTGCTACTCAGAGGTAAATGCGAAGAAGCAAAGAATCATTTTGGACTTTAGCCCACCTTCAATTTAGTCCTGATGTAGAGTTTTTATTTCTACTCCTCTGGTTCTATTCTTTTTTTTTTTTTGAGAAGTTTTTTTTATTTTTTAAAACATGAAACATAAAATACATCTTTTTAGAGCAAGGATTTGATCCGATATAAAGTAAATACAATTACTCACATTCCCTCAACCAATTTTGTTCCAAATTTTATCCATTTACCTCTTAAAAAAAAAGAAAAGAAAAGAAAAAGAAAAATCTTATTCTAAACATTTAGATTTTAAACATTCTACTGTGTCACCCTAAATTCTAAACAATTATTTCCAAATAGACATCATTCCAAATCTTTGTCATTTTAACAATCAATATTTCATATATATTCCTCATTTCTAAGACCCATTACATCGAGTCTATATTGTACCTCTGGTTCTATTCTTACTTGGAAACAAACTTTCTTTTGAGAAAATATGGACAGAGGGAAATAAGTAAGAATACTACAGGAAAATTACACTAAAGACAAGACAAAAAAAGATCATTTTTCCATATTTGGTAGTCCCCTCACTTCCCCAGAAATAAATCATTGCCAAGTTTTATTTTTATTTACATAGCCCATCTTCATTTAAAATTATGCTGTATTTTTTTTAAAAAAGGGGGGGGATGGAAAGGCAGTTCTCGACTGTGCATTCTGGTTAACATGGAAACAAAGTATAAATTAGATCCATTTATTTGCCGTTTGTATTAGCTGGAAATTCTGCATAGCCTAACAAGCCCTTCTGTTCAACTATAAAAAATAAAAAACTCGTCTTGAAATAATGCACGTCTTCCTGAGCAACATATTGATTTCCACGAGTGCTTTGAAAAAAATAGGGAGGTTATTTTTTATTTTTTTTTGCACTTAACCACCCATGATATTTTACATTTTGGAGCCAGTCGCAAATAGTTGCCATTTGGAGAAATAAAAATTAACATAGCAACTTTCAGAATAATACTGTACAGTCAGATGAATAAATAGCCTTTTTGAGAGGAAGTCAGGATGTTATTGAGGCAGGATATTGGAGAACACTGAAATTTACAAGCATGCAGGAAACCAGGACAAAGTATGACAGACAATGAGCATAAATCCGTCACTGTGCATCCCTTATGTGGGAAACCAAATGCTATGAAGCACATCACACCTGCGAGACAGTAGAACCAAAATAAATCTGCAAATTCTTGAACGATACAAGGCCACGCTTGTTTTCAGTTGCTCTTTTCACAATCACCATATTTCAAATTTCAACTGCTTTATGACGGTGTTGAAATAAGCCCATCTCTTCCCCATCCCACCTCCTGCCCCCCCAACTTCCTTCTGTGAAATCTGGTAAAAGAGTTAAAAACAGAGTTTTTCCACAGGTTGGTGGCTGAAAGTATGCACTTGTTCTTTCCATTTCATCTTTGTTTCATTAGAAAAGCATGGAAGAGGCAGGATGTGGTGAAGCTTATCAGGAGCTTGGAGAAATAAAGCATGTCCAATGGGCCAGAAGTAGTCTAAGGGATCCACACAGCAATAAGTTTCACATTATGTTACTACCGGTTTGCCCGCGCGCACATGCTCGCTTCGTTCGCATGCGCACCCAGTTCACACGCATGCCTGCCTTCCACACATGCGCCCGGCCTTCTGCGCATGCGCTTTGCTGGTGCACACGCCTTCCGCGCATGTGCCCAACCTCAAAAACGTGCCTAAATAGGATGGCATAGAGCTGAGGCGGAGGGGCGGGGGGTGGGGGGGCAGGCCCACCCGCAATTTCCACTACCAGTTTGGCCAAACCAGTTCAAACCGGCTGAATACCACCTCTGGATCCACATCTCTTAAAGTACCCCTGAATATTAAGCTGGAGAGAGCAGATTTTTAACTGGAGAACCAAAAGTGGCTTCATGGCCCAAGAGCTGATGTACACAGGTTTCCCACTGTTGTTTGTATTCTGAAGTTTTGCAGGATCATAAGGACCTTTCTAAAGCCTGTTTGATCAGAGATACTTGGAGATGAAATAATATAGGAGAAAAAGCAACAGCGCACACATTAAATCAGCTTTACCTCTTTGGCTTCTATGGCACCCCAAGAAGAAACAACACCTGAACCAAGAGACACACCCCTGGCACTTCTGCAATCTACCTGCAAAGCAGAAATGGCTTGAAGAAGCATGCCAAAAACTCTGGATGCTGATCATGACCAAAGAAACAGCTGTTAAAGAATAACAGTATAACAGAGTTGGAAGGGACTTTGGATGTCTTCTAGTCCAACCCCCTGCTCAAGCAGGAAACCCTATACCATTTCAGACAAATGGTTGTCAAATCTCTTCTTAAAGACCTCCAGTGTTGGAGCACCCACAACTTCTGGAGGTAAGTCGTTCCACTGGTTAATTGTTCTCACTGTTGGGAAATTTCTCCTGAGTTCTAAGTTGGTTCTCTCCTTGATTAATTTCCATCTATTGCTTCTTGTCCTGCCTTCTGGTGCTTTAGAGATTTGGTTGACCCAACCTCCTCTTCATTGTGGCAGCACTTCAGATATTGGAACCCTGCTATCATATCACCCCTAGTCCTTCTTTTCATTAAACTAGACAGACACAATTCCTACAACCGTTCTTCATATGCTTTAGGCTCTAGTCCAAGCTGTTGCTGCTTTCCATGACATCTAGCACAAAAGGAACATACACACCTCTGCTGTGGTGTTTTTATTTGCAGAAGCAGCTGTAAGCAAGCAGCTTAAGAAAATACAAACCTGAGCACAGAGCAATGGGGAAAAATAAGAAAGGAGAATTGTTTCCCCTAATTTCTGAGCCCTCTTTGTCCTCCCCATTTCCTACACACACACACACACACACACACACACACACACACACACACACACAAAATGCAAGTTAGATCATTCAGAGGTGCGCACCGCTTGGTTATATACTGAAAATTCAACAGGTTGAAACTGGCAAAGCTGTTTGAAAACCAGATGCATATTTCCAGCCAGAGTTAGGATATAGCAAAACTACTTCAAATGATTACGTTTAAGCCATTACAATCTCCAGCTTTGATTCATGCCATGCTACTATGTTGTGCATCTGGATTGTTGAGAAAGTTGATTTACTGGTTCCTTCTTAGGCAAGCTTGTAAAAAGTTGATGTCCGTCACCTTTGTAATGGTTTTGCATTATTTTTTCCCTTACATTTTTTTCTATGATTTCCAGTATACATACTTAGAAATGACTACTCGCCCAAAGTCCAAGAAGAACCTTATAATTAAATATTGTGAGCTAACTAACTTGGGGACAGTTGTTGGCAGCCTTTTCTTTTTATGATTTGTTCTAAAATTGAAACAAAATTTAAAAAAGGAAAGAGAAGATCACAAAGAAAAGAGGAAGGGGGGAGAAACCACAGCATAAGGAAAAAGAAACAATTTATGATGTTCTATGCAAGAACTCATTCAACCTAGTTTTTAGCTAATCATTCAAAAACATTATCAGAAAATAATATTCATCCCTTTTTCCATTATGTCAGAAAGGAGCCATCTCCATTCTGTAATTCAGGATTGCAAATCTAGATTCGTACAAGCTTTCCAACACTGAGAAGCAATCTTTTTTGCAATCCCCCATGCTCAGTCAAACTGTAATTTTTCATATAATGATAAGCTTCCAAGTTTTAGATAAATAGCACAATACACTGTCAGCATAGGACAGTTCCTCCTCCCTTTCATTTCCTGTAGTACTGTCCTCAGTTTGTTTAATAAGGATAAACAAATGGTTCCAACATGAAGTTAAAAGTAAGAGGAAATGCATTCCATTGGATATTTGAAGAGTTATTTCCATTTGAAATAACTCCTTAAAAGGGGGGGGGGTGGTTCTAAACCTGACAACTTTAAGACTTGTGAACTTCAACTCCCAGAAACCCCAAGCCAGCAACATGCAGTTCAGTGGTGGTTTGCCCCTAATTCGGACCGGTTCTATGGAACCAGTAGTAAAACTGGTGGGAGGCTCCGCCCACTGACCCCAACGTCATCAGGAAGCTTCTGCGCCTATCTCTAGGAGTAGCAGGGATGGAATAGACACTCTCCAGAAGCTCTTTCAGCTTCATCTTTGTGGCAACTCCATGTGACTTCCAAAGGAAGCTTTAATTTAGATTCTCACCTAGTTTTATTGACTCCCATCCTTAAGGATTATTTATTGTCAGATAATGTTGCCTCCAAGTAACATTAAAATGACTCTGGTAGACTATTCAAATAAATTCCATTTTCTAAGTCCACGAATGGATGAACAATATCTTTTTTCCCAAAAGTAAATATATGTAAAGTCAGAAAAATAGATATCGGTACGGATGTGTGGAAGAAGGCACATAATAACTTAGCAGCTCTCTCTCTCTCTCTCTCTCTCTTTTTTTGGTGTATGTTTTTGAAACAATCTATCTTTATATCTGAAGATCAAGTTCAAGAAACATTTATTTTAAAAAGGCTATAGATATCCAGTATTTTAAAAGTAATCAGATAAAAATCTACAGTAGCCTCTATCAAAGCTCACTTAACACTACTGTAATATCGCAAGACAGTTTGAATTTCCTTCTGGTGCTTTCCCTTTCCCTATAGGAATGTAAGACTGGAAACAACTAATTTTAATTACTCCTGAATTGGCAGAGGAAGTTGGTTTTAACATTTTTTTAAAGAAAACCTATTTTGCTCCTTGTAAGGATGCAAGAATCTTTCTTCTTGGTTTGTATTTAGGACTATCACATCTGAGTTGCAAATGTATGAAACACCACAAGAGAACACCTGTTAGATGCAAGCAAACAGAACCGCTCATGAATAACAAGTCAATAACTTTATTGTCTATCGCCTATATTACAAGAATCTTACCAGACTGTTTGCTTTCACTTGGGAATAACCATGATAAGACTTCATGGCTCTTGGGGGAGGTCAGATTTATGATACTTGCAAATGCACAAGGACTCCAAACTAGGTTCTTGTTTGACCTCTCCATCCAGTTTAGCTGGCAGTTTCCCCACAACAGCAAAGAAGTACAGAAGTACAGCAAAGAAGTACAGAAACTCTGAGCTGTTATCTTGGGGTCATTTAGATTTTTGCAACTGAGATACAGAAGCTCTATTCAAGCTGGAGATCAAGATTTTCACTTTTCCTAGGCTGGAATTGTCTTCTCTTTTTAAATTTACCAACGCGTCAACATTAGTTATTTAAGATACAGACAAGCTTATCATCACACACAGTCTAAAAGAAAACATACTAACATTCTTTACCTAACTAATGCTCATTATGAACAAAAGTGTGTGCAATTCTCTAATCCCATCCTTGACTTTTATAGTCAATTTGCAAAATCCAACGTTTGCCACACTTCTTATTTGGTGTAGCTCTTCTTACAATCAATAAGTCTGCAATCTCTAAATCCACAGTTCCCCTGTTGTCATTGCAAAGATTGCAGGACTTATCATATGGCACCCCACTGGTACAGTGGAAAAAGCTTATGGAAACATAATGTTTTATTCTTTATTCCAGGCAAAATGGATCAGACAAAGCTGATTAAGAGTATAGTTGGAGTTACAAGATTTTTCCTTCAAAGGTAATCTTATGTAGCAGAAGTAGTACTTCTGATTCTCATTTCAACATGTGTAAAATAGAGTATTGCTTAAGCTGACAATATTAGATGACATTTGCTATCCTAAATTTCTAGCTTTATTGGAAGGAAAATATTATGAACCAACAAAAAATAGGATAAAACACATTGTAGTAATTTAGCTACTTATTATTTAGTCTCCCTTTTTAAAACTCCCTATTTTAATATATCTAGGCTAGGAGCTGGGGGTAAAGACTTTCCTCTCTAGTCCTAATCCTAAATTTTATTTAGCATAAAAAAGGAGGAAAAACATCATTAGTTTGGCCCTCCTTCTCCACTATTAAAGCTTTGGACTTCGTTTAATTGGCATTTCCTTTTATATATTAGTATAAAACACTTTGCCCCCCCCCCCACCCCCCACCCCCGATGCCTACTAACCTGCATATGAGTTCAAAACCTCTACTCTATCCTGTCCAGCAAAGATTGACAACTCATTTCACAATAGAATTGTAGTGTTGGAAATGACCAGAGGGATTGTCCAGTCAAGTGTTTCTCAATCTTGAAATCTTAAGAAATATGGACTTCAATTCCCCAGCCAGCATGCTGGTTGGGAATTCTGGGAGTTGAAGTTCACATTTCTTACAATTGCCAAAGTTGAGAAAGACTGATCAAGTTCAATCCTATGGAATGTTCAAGAAAACCAATTAAATAAATTATGAATGGCTGTCTTGTCTCTTCTACAGTCCCATTGGTAAACTGTTCCACTGATGTACAGGTCTTATCTACAGAAAATAATCTTCGTTCTTAAAGTAAATCTAGTAAACAGCAAATTATATCCATTTTTTTCTGGCCCTAGTTTTTGGGACCACCGAAAATAATTCTTGGTTGTCTTCCCTATAGGCACATGAACTTGGCAGTCATGGCTGTCCCAAATCAACTTTTCTTCAGATGAAGTATTCCAGATTCCTTCTTCAGTCTGTCCTCATAGAGCATATTCCCATGTTCCTGAATCATCTTCACTGACCTCCTCTGAACCTTTTTTAACCTGTTAATAGCCTTCTGGGAAGGTGGTGCCCAGAATTGTACACAGTACTCCAGGTGCAATCTCACCAATGCCAATCAGAGAGAAATAATAGCTTCAGCTGTCTTTGATATGGTGCTTCTTATTCTAATACATCCCAGTATTATGTGAACCCTTCTAGCAACTGACTCATGTTCAGCTTGGGGGCAAAGTGCACACCCAAGCTGTTCTCAGATGTAATTTCCCAAGTCATGAATCTCCTACTTCATATGTGTGTTCTACATTTTATGTCCATAACTGTAATAACCTACATTTGCTCTTGTTAAAAGACATATTGTTCTTTCAACCTCAATTTGTTATCCTAGGTATTGATCAGACCTCCCAGTGTTGTATTATTTGCTGTTTGACAAGCAGCTATCAATCCCATCATCCAGATCATTAATAAAAATATTAAATAAGATAACATTACATACCCCTGATCCCAAGACTGGCCCTACAGAGTCCCATCCCATTCATTACCACTCTCCAGTTTGAGTTATTTATGCTGAGTAGGCGTCATCAGCCAGTTGTGCACTCACCTTAGTGTAGTGTCATCTAAATCCCACTTCAGCAGCTTGTCAATGAGAACAACATGTAAGCTTCCCTTTGTACATCCACGGTACTCTTCAAGAAGTCTTCATGCTGAAAAATGAAATAGAATCCTGGTAATCTGACTTCCTTTAAAACCATTGCTACCTCATACTTGAAGCAAATGAAATCCACTTGGTTTCTGACAGAAGGCAACAGCAATAGCACTTAGACTCATATCCCACTTCACAGTGCTTTTCAGCCTTCTCTAAGCGGTTTACAGAGTCAACATATTTCCCCCAACAATCTGGGTCCTCATTTTCTCGACCATGGAAGGATGAGTCAATTTTTGAAGGGTTCACAAGACATGTTTGCTACCACGAATTGCCAGAACCTCCTCTCTGGATATACCTTATCCTAAACGGTATTGCAGGGAGTGGGGAGGGAGGCAGTTACGGATTGATTGATTCATTATGTACGAGCAAGACATATATTTTCATAGATTTTTTCCCTGACAATCTGTCCCTAGCCTGTTTTTTTCAGGTCTCCCACTGACGCATTCATCACCATTGTACTTGAGCCCAGCTCCTTTGTTCTTGGTTATTCTCTTCTCTTCCTTCTTTCTCAGTATTTAGAACTTTTTCCAGAATCCAGAGACATAATAGAGATGGCAGCTTTGTAACTTATGTGCTATCCACTTGAGCTCTTCAGAAAAACTCCCAACTTTCCTAATAGATTTTTTTGAGTACCTGAGTTGACTTCTGACAAACATAACCATTTTTGTTCACCTTATTGTAGAAGTACAACTGCCTTTCTGCTAAAATAACAGGGAAAAATCATACCTTATCATTAACTACAAAGATAGCATTCATACTGCAGTTCAGTGCTTTAACTTTATATAAGGTTGTCCCAACAATGCTTTTTCAGGAGACAACTGGACTTTATTTTTTTCTTTCAAAGATGTTTCACCTCTAATCTAAGAAGATATGACCTATAACCTTTTATATAAGGTTATGTTACATGAAATACTCAAGCCAAGTTCTTATTTTCTGAAGTAATAATATGTATTACACAACCTATATACTGCCTAAGCTTTAAGTTGAACAGCCAGGCAAAATCCAACCTCTTTCACCATAAGTGTGACCTCAGCTCACTTCTTGGAATATACCAAGAATATGTAAATTATCTCTAAGAGTTGCTTCTCAGATGGCTAGTTTGAGTTAATAGAAAAGTCCAACGTGTATACCTAACAGCTTCCCAGAATACATCATGAGTATGTAAATTACCCAAACTGGCCACTTAAATCCTCACCCCTGTGCTGATTAGATGAACCTGGGGCTGGAAGGATTGTGATTCCAGGAGTTTCCCAGACTGCTTTGTATGGAATCTCCATTACTGACTTATTATTGCCAAGAATCAGCAGCTAAACTATAGCTTCCTTTTGTTTTACAGTTGCTTCCTGTTTTACCATCTCTTGGCCCAGTGGCATCTACCCCTAATCACAAGTCATGTTCACCAAGACTCGAAATGCCAGTTCTGGCCTTTTATATGTCCATTGTGCGCTTGCAAAGTACAAAAGAGTTATGATTCATGGCTGCAACGTTTTTGGTTCTGAGGATGGGTGTGTTTTTTTCTGAAGCCATCTGCAGCTGGTGTGACCTGAAATGATTTGTAGACCTGTTGCATTATAAGTTAAAACATCTCCAATTTGTTTGTCATGTCACACAATATTTATTATAGACATTAAGAAAACCTGGATGCTATAGAACTTTCAGGCTGCCTGATAAATGCCATTGCAGATTCGTATCGCTTGCCATCGGAATGCAAGGAATTTTATCTTCCAGGAAAGATCTTCCATGGTTACTTGAAATCACAAGAAGAATGGCTTCAGTGGTGGTTTGCAAATAGGATAAAGGAAAATCAGTGTTAGTTTTGGCAACTAGACTGCCTAACCCTAACCCTAACCAAATGTTACTGCACAAGAGTTGAGATTTTCTATTAAGAGGTGATATTAGTGAAACAATGGTGGAGTTGTAGGAGTTGCTCTCCCAACATTGCATTCCTTGTCCCGCTGCTTTTTCAGGTGCTTTGGACTTGATGCTTTCCACTTGCAATAGCCACGGCATCCATCTTCTTAGAAGCATCCAATTACGATGCCCACAGCCCAGGCTCCTATCAAACCATCCTAATGGTGAGAAACTCTTAAGTTAGATAAATTATTGAATGGGAAGAAGCCATAAAACCTGCATAAAGCATTATGCAAAATACATTAACGGCTTGGTCTCCAGCTGTAGCATAATGATCTGTAGATATCTGTACAATGTTCCCAGATGAGGGCTTCCTTTAAAATCCTTTTAAAAACTGAGGAAGAAAAATGATGACAATGGAAATAATCTGGATGGGGGAGGCAGGAAAGAAGATTGTGTACGTGAGTGTGAGTGTGTGTGTGTGTGTGAGAAAGAGAGAGAGAGTGCTAAAAGGCAGGAGCTGTCCAGGCAAGGTGAGCCAAGGACACTGTGCAGGGCTGAACAATTCATGAGTAACATTTGGATGGACGCCAAAGCATTCCACGGTGGCACGTTTGCCTTTAGGTACTCTTTATATTTTCCCTGTTTTTACTAAGCCTTTCCCTTCTCCTAGCTGGAACCAAGTATATTTTCTCTCTCTCTCTCTCTTTCCTGCACAGTGCAATTAACTACCTCGAGCGAATCCTGCTCTGGGAGTGTCATGGTAGATGCAGATGTCTTCCACCCACACCTCACAGGAACTAACTTTCTGTTTTACCCATTTTTCAGCTTGCATGAGTGCTATATAGAGCCTCCCTTGAAAAACAGAGCAAACTTTTGATAGCCAAAACCCCTGGCTGGAGACTCATCTCTGATCTTGCCTGCACAAAATGGACTCTTGTAAACAAGGAAGAAGCTTGTTGCCCTGGAAAGATAAAGGCCCTGATTTCTCTTGTTCTCTCTCTCTACCACTCCCTCTCTGTCCTCCTCCCACTTCTTCCCCCTTCTGTGTTTCCCACAGCTAGAAATTGCCTCCAGGACTCGGCAGCTCCACGTTGGCAGAACTCCTTGTTGTGGTGCAGGTGTGCTGGAGACTTCCTCCGTGTGGTCGCCACAGCAACCCGCCTGTCTAATCTGTTGAATATATAGAGAAAAAGAAGAAACAGATAGACAAAAGCTATCCACCCCCTTCTGCTCCATCTTTGAGGCCTAAAAGAAGACTCCCGTCTCCAAGCATTCCTCATAATCCCCCTGCCATTGCCTGGGCAACAGGCACAAGGAGCTGGCGGGCCCTGTGATACAATAGCTTCTCCTGTCTCTGACTTGTTTCCCCGATAAATACCTCCTCCCTCACGCCTCCCCGGCCTTCATTCCTTCTTGCCTTGATTTATCAGATCGGTGGACCTGAACAAATTAATGGAAGCAAGTTTGACTTTGACCGACCCAGCACACACCTTTCCTGTTAGAGACTCTGGACCGGCCTGTCCAATTTGGCAAGATCTTCAGATCTCAAGGGTAGCAGATCCTTCAAGAGCTCTTAATGCAGCTTAAGTCACTACTTTTCTACCTGAAATTATTAAAAACAGTGGTAGCTTATTTAATCTTGACGTAGACCACACTTAAAAGGAAAGAGGAAATTTAGGATATATGTTATTATGAGAACAATATTAAATTTAGGATATTTGTTATTATGAAAACAAATAATACCAAATCCATAGGTCACACCCTGTACGATGGCAGAGTCAAGGTAAAAATAAAGGTATGCTTGCCTTTGAGTAAATGAAGAGAATGTTTTAAACAAACACATGTGCCCCAATTGCCATTTTCACAACCCTATGGATTTAAAAATACAGGTAATTCTCGACTCACAACTATTCAAAGTTATGACAAACTTGAAAAAAGTGACTTACAACCTAGCACTTATGACCATCATAGCATCCCCATGGTCATGCGATAAAAATTCAGGTCCTTGGCAAGTAACATTTATGACAGTCCCTGGGATCATGTGATCATGTGATTTCCATTTGCAATCTTCCCAGCCAGCTTCTGACAAGCAAAATCAATGGGGGAGAGCTAGATTCACTTAATGACCACATGGTTCACTTAACAACTGGGGGATTTGCTTAACAACCATGGCACAAAAGGCTGTAAAATTGGGCACGACTCATTTATAACCACCTTACTCTGCCATGGTCATAAGTCAAGGAATACCTGTAAAACATGTTAGGATTTCTAGGAGGGAACTTCTTACTTTTAAACAGGCATGGGGAACCTATGGCTCTTCCAAAATTGCTAAACTATTGTATTGCTAACGTCTACCTACCATGCCAGGGTGGTGACTGTTGGGACTTGCAGTTCAGCAAAATCTGAGGCAGAATGATTAACCTATGATTAAGACATGCAGATGCCCTGAACAGCATTAGAAGACAAGGTTTGGGGCTACAGTAGCAAACCCCAGCATGGCAGCTAGCAATGCAGCCAGGAGAAAAAAAAGGAAGCCGCCAGTGATTCAATTCCCAGCTACCTCTCCAATGAACGATGTATGGCTGCAAAAGTGTTTATATGCTGAAGAAAAGGCTAGAGAGAGAAAATCCTCCTTATCAAAAGGGGTCCTTTAAGAGGCCGTCCCTGGCAGTTTCAGTTATGACAGCTGTTTCGGGAATATGGAGCGGCTTTTCAGCACGGTGGGCTCTCTCTTCCCCATATCCAGCAGTGAAAGCTCTCATTTGTCTTCTCGCCATCGTGTTGATGCAGCTGGGGCTGACACTGCTTACCTCAGCAATTTTGTTGTTGTTGTTGTTAAAAGACAGAAGGCTTCCTTGTGATCCCAGCCTTTTCCTATCAAATGACACTCAGCCAGGGTTTGGTGACTTATTTACTGGCAGCGGACCAGTCAAAGCAAAGCAAAAAAAAACAAAGTTATAT